AGCTACGTCCATTGAATAAAGCACAACGTAAACAGAAGAACATTCCATGTAGTTCATATTTTTTGATCATGTTATTCGTTGGATCGCCACATGTCGGCCGACTTGCACATAATTCAGCTTACTGAGAAGTGTGCTGCTCCGTAAGGCCAATGAACCTCCCATCTCGGTTCCGGATCTCGCCAGATCGATAACCTCCCATCGAGATGTTCAATGGCATACCCCTTTCTAGACTTTCTCTAATGAAACCCTGAAGCTCGGACGACATGTGTATAGAGCTCGGGACGTCTGATCTCCCCACACACAGACGGCATGTTTACATAGACTTTGGCAGCAAGGTCTATCAGACAAGGCATGCACTGCGCAAACTCTCGAAAAAGAATCATCTGAATCACTTTAGTTGAGAAATAAAAGAGTGATTTGGCATGGTCTATTCAAAAATTCCGAGCTGAAAGGTTGATTTAAAATCTAAGGAACAGACTATCGACGCAGCCACGGCCATATGAATCGATGACTCATTTCCGGATCACATATTATTCTATGAATAACCATGCCCCTATACAGCCGATGGGGAACAAATGTTGCTCTGATTCTCACTCTTTCCTGACACCCCAATGTCTCTAGCTTCAAGACAAAGCTACATCATACATTGGGGGAATCCATAGGGTATTATGCACACTCAGGTCATTCATCGACAAGCCCGCCCATGATAAACCAGATGCAATGACACGAAGCTCGCCATGTGCCTCCCGAGAAATCCGAGAAAGGCCCATTGTTCCAATTAGAGAGAGAAGAAAAAAAGCAGAGCAAAACAAGCTGTCGCACAGGCTCAGCGCGCCGATCCGATACTGGCACCTGCCGTTACTCAAACACGTGCTCTGAACATTTTCTCGCGCTTCAGCTCATCAAAGCAAGTGTTCCGTACCAAAAGAAGCTCGTAATTGTTTGAAAAGCAGTCTGGGATATAGGGGGTTTGGGAAGCCTGCTAGGTTCTCTATTTTCTACATCATTGGGCGCCATTTGGAATCATCACGTTCTGTTACTAATACTCCAATACTGGAGCGGCACTAATATTCTGATAGAAAAAGCATTCATCCCTGACACATCTCGACTCCCTTCCCCCAAGTTCGATGGCCATCGCAACAGCTCAGCGTTAGTATCCGCAGCTAGTCAGAGCTGCCGCCGCCAAGCACCGAACATTTCCGTATTCCTTTAATTTTAGAATCGGATCGACCGCCTCACCCGAGAGAGGGAACATTCTGTGCCCGTGACGTCGAAGAGTCTCAGTCGTATGACCAGTGGAGATTTCCTCCTGTTTTTCTGCAGCTTGTAGAGTACTAGAGATGAATCAGAGGGATAGTCCGGAAACCTAGTTACCCGCGGCGCGCGGCGCGCATCTTGCGTATGCAACAGGCAACAAGCTCCGTTTCAGAATATCCGTCAAATGTACAGATGAGTGGCTCCCGGAGCCAGCAAACCCAAGTAACCAATCTGTTTTTAACTTGAGGGAACCAAAGAAAACGTCAAATCCCCCGGCGGGCAAGCAAGGGATCCGAATCCGGACATGCAGGTTGGAAGGGGAGCGAAAGGAGCGCGAAGGGACAGGGAAAAGGAATCCCTGGACAGCTTCACCGCCAACCTGGGATGAGTCGTCTGCCAGGCACGACTGGACGAAAAAGTGGGACGAAAGAAGCAACCATGCCCAACCCTTCGGGCAGGGAGCGATGAGTCAACATCTCCAACTTCGAAAACCAACAGTTCGGGGCTGGGAGAGCAGAAGAAGACGATGCAAGTGGCTGGGTGAAGCAACCGAGAGTTTGTCTTCCTACCGGTTGGCCTTTGTCGACCATTCGGACATGAACCCTAAGACCAGATCCCAGTTCCCTGTATCGCCCACAAGCATGCAGACCTGAATGAAAGGTTGGGAAAACCTGGCGTTACTGAGTGATATCAAGAGGTAAAAATTCATCGGCGGATATCGTTACGACTCTGCAACGGACAAACGGAGAGTGACTGCGATCGTAGACTGAAGGGTCCGAGGTGCCAGTGACGGTTCGGCCTGTTGCAACACAGGATCTTGATCGCTTGGATCCGTTTGGGGGCCACACGATAACGCATGCGCTGCGGGTTTCTGCGATGCGCCATAAACTTTCCGCTTGCGTGTGGAGGTTAGTGAGAAGTGACAACGTGGTTGAAGGCGCAATGTCCTGTGGCGGGACCTTCGCTCCCTTTCTTCAGCACATCGTGACAACTGATAGGATACTTTTGACTGCGTCTCACGCCCAGAGCGCAGAGTTTTCGTTTCCAAAGAGTCATTGCCCTGGAGACGAAGTTTTTTTGCTTCTGAAGATTACCGTACAAGCGGGATGATAGCCGTACGTGGGATGGTGGCCTGCAAGGCCTCTGTTCACCGCCATGGAGGCGTCGAATTTGTGGACGGGGACAGATTCCGGTTGCTCTTCGAATCCACCAGTCTCAGTCACTTGTTTGCAGCACGACGGGAACCCTGGGCGTGTGCATGAATGAAATTTGGAACCGAATGATCCAAGCTCCGAAGGTTGAATGCCAGGATACAGCTCTGTTGAAGTTCTAGTACATGGCGGTACCGTGCGTATCGATCCTGGTCTTTTTTGGCGCAGGACGAAAGGAACAGTGAGAAGGAAGACAACCGACGGCCCAGGACTCTGGAATGACGTCGGAAGAGTAAAACGGAAGCTGTGGATCGCGGCCTCGCATCATGACAAGCGAAGGGGGTCGGATCCATCGCTTAACGCTCAATCTCCGATTTTGAAGGTGGAAGGGCAAGGGAGAAACTCTACGGTGGCTCCGGAGTGGATGCCGGGGATGAGAAGCTTAAGCTGCCGGTTGGGACTCACCGACACAAAAGCTGGTGGCAGAGACGGTTTGTCTATGACTCAAATGAAGAAATTTTGCGTGAAGGAGCCTGGTGTTCCATTTCCTTCGATCATCGAAGGGCACGCGTAGTTTTTGATCATTGACTTGCTGGTCCGCGACACTAGCCGCCATAATGAACTGGGAACCCTTTGCTCCCAGTGCGAAGTGAGACCGGGGATCCTCACCGGGATGCTAATTCGGAGAAGATGGTCTTGGATCTAAGTCAAAAATCCAGGGAACAGGGGTGCTCTGAAGCCTCCATGCCCCGCTGGGGTCAGCCCTGTCAGGAAACCGTCCCAAGAGTGATATTGATTCTCATCGGCAGCCATAGACCTGGTACCAAAGTTGAACCAAGTTTCTCGGCAAAGGGTTCCAAGTATGAGCGAACGTCGGCTACTGTCGAACTTTGCAGGATGTTTGCCAAAGCCTTGCAGGCCATGTTCTTAGTGGCTGGCCTGCCTAGCTTCACGTGTAAGACACAATGGCGAGACGAAGCCTCGCCCAGCTTGTTGGGTAAGGGCAAACGACAAGGAAATGGCCGCGCTTGCCGACAGACGACTAGTCCCCTTGCTTGCCGAAGCATCCCAAAAAGATGCTCTGAAGTTGGGATGCGGCGGAGGAGGCTCTTCTGAGGCAGAGGAACAACTTGACAAATGATCTCGATCCAATATGCAGACTCGGGCAACAACATACGTTTGGGTACGATCCCGATGTCAGCCGCGGCTCCTTCCAAGAGTAAGAAGTTGGCAGGAGAGAATGACAAGGCGGTGGGAGTTTTGGGAAATGAAGGGCCGTGGACGTGACCGGGGAATGACATGACGAAGTGTCTCTCTTGTTCATGCAAGGCGCATGAGCAGTACGATGAGGCAACGCGATCATTGTTAAAGAGGCAGGGGAGGTTTCCGTGTGGATAATCCGAGTCCAAGTGACAGGCGCGATGCGGGCGTTGGGCGTTATGGGGTGAGATGCCGTCGGAGAGAGGTGTGTCGTACACGGTGCACCCAATGACGGGTTTGGCGGTCTGAAGCTGTACGTCGTTGTATACATGGAGTCGTTCAGATGAAGGGGTCGTGGGCCGAAGTTGGCCAGGTCTAGGCCATACGTTGGGCTCCGTCGCCAGGAACGCGCGAGAGGCAACGAGGAGATACGACGTATGGGGAGTCGAGGTCCGGCGCCAGCTCCCACATGGCCGCTGACCTCGGCGTTGGCTTGTGTGCTTGTGTTGGCTGGTGTCGAGGTACCTCAGGCACAGCGGAGGTGTGGTTAGGCATCTGCGGCTATGTGGGTGACGTTCTCATCGAGTGGTTTCTTGAGTGGGAAAGCACAGCTGAGAATAAGGGACCGATTTGGCCAAGGGCCGTTCGAGTTTTGGTTGGTGAGGTGGACTTGACTTGGGATTCACAGCAATCGACAGTGGATGTCGCAAGTTTCGTTCATGTCTTGGTGAAGCAGACTTCGCTCGCCTCACTTGGACGATTGGTTTATGACGGGGACGGCGTCGGTCCATTGACGGGTCGTCTAAGGGCGTTCCCACTTTTTCAGCGGCGCCATCGCGTTTCCCACTACTGCCAGTACCCACTAGACTTTTGCACACCTTCCATTATTTCCAGGTTCTTTCCTTCCGGCTTTCGCGGTGGCCGAGTTTTTCCAGAAGGTGAGGAGACGACCGGGGGTCCACTTGCCGGATTGGTGCGAGAAACGCAGCTACCTTAGCCCAGTCGACCTTGGTGTCATTAGGTAAGGTTGATGGGAAGGGGAAAGAGCAAGTGCAGAGTCGGCATCAATGCGAGGACGTGGGAGTGCAGCATCTCACCTTTGCAGATTCACCAGATTGTGGCCCCCCCGGGTCCATCGGTGGAGTCGCGCATGATTCACGTCGCCGATGCATCTCCGTGACGTCGCGACTCCTGGAGCACCTCGCTGGTCTTGGTCCGGTCGTCTGGCGCGCTTCAGGACGCGAAACGCGTGAGATGAATCACTGGCGGGGATGCAGCAAACACGCACACAATGGCCTCTCCTCCAGACCTCCTCATGAGTGAAAAGAGGCCGAGACGTATGGAAGGATGTTTCTTCAATATGATAGAGCGGGCCTCGATGTACCTGCTTGCTTATACTTGCTCTGGGCACGAGGCCCGAAACAAGCACCGTGGCACACCGACAAAGCAAATGAGGGTCTTCAAGTTGGTGATGGGCCGCTCTGTATGCGGCCATGAAGCACAGTGGAGCTGGTGGCTCACGCGTCTCTCCAGGCTGAGTGGCTGGCTGTTCTTGGACGTTGTTGCTTGGGCATCACCGGCGGCATTGGAGAGCTTACCCGGATGTTGATTTCCCAGCCACCGACTTTTTGCCCCTGCTCCTTCTGTGAGTGTCTGCTGCCCCTTCTGAGTTTCTCCCGATGTCAGAATTGGCTTTGTCTGTCGGACGATGCGTCCGAAATATAGGCGATGGGTGGCTTTCCGTATTCCAGGGATGTGGCTGAGGATTCGTCTGAGAGTACGAGCATGATCCCGACTTCTCAAGAGACGAGGTTGGCCAATTGCGCATTGTGTCTCGCGGGACTGGGAGAACAAATGGGGCATTCTAGGAATACTATGAAGCTAGTTAGGAACAGAGAAAAAAATTTCTACGGCTACGGCATTCCGGCCAAGGATGGCAGAGGAATCGAGCGGATCGGGGCTTTGTCTTCCTGTTGCCAGTTGGGTCTCTGATTTTTGGTGGTTGAGCAGGTGAGACCGTGAGTCGCGACCCGGACCAGATGATCTGGGGAATATTGGACGATACGACTCTGAACGAGGACTCGTCATGCTCCATCTTTGAGCCCAAAGGTACTGATATCGTCGCTGGATTCGGTCAGTTCCCCTAGCCCAGTGTGGCTGCTTGTGCTTCGCCTTGTCATTGTTTGCCTCGTTATCTAATTTGGCTGTAATGACACTGGAGAGAGAGAGAGCTGAGCATGACAGTTGATAGCACCATCTCCATGGGATCTGATACGGGACGGGAGGGTTCCATTCACGCTTCAAAGTTCACAACGATCCCCGATGTACCGCCTTTGCCTCGTAGCCAGTGTTCAGACCCGTGTGATCACCCCACTGAGAGCCGAGCAATAGGAACCCGGAGACGAGAAACAGTGGCTTGCTAGTGGATGCAGGAGGGCTGCAACGGGCTTCATAGGTCACGTCTCGGGGCAGTTGGGGGTATTCTTGGGCTTTTGGGTATCAATAACATGAGTGAATGAGCCTATCGCGCGAGAGGCAGCGGCCGTCGATGCCCAACCTGTTGGAGCTGCCTCTCCGCAAGTCTGCTCGTTCAGTCTGGTCCAGTGGATGCGGGAGGCAAGAAGGATGAACCGCCAGGGCCATCATGTTATTCGCAAGGGTCCTGGGTGTGCTCACCACTCAATGGCTCATCTCACCTCTAGATTTTGTATCTTTCCTTCCGTTTTTGGTCATTACCACGACTTCGCCCATCAAAGTACCGAGGATACGTTATCCCTGGCCGTTCGGTCTTCGCCATACGGAGCAGTGTCAGGTAGGAAGAGTCCAGTCACCTCCCCACGTCGAACGTCGTGACCGTTTCCCCTTAACCGCATCTCAGTCGTAACGGTGTATATACCGTCCCACCGTCCAACCTTGCCGCCCGCCACCGCAGTGGGTACCGTTCCGTTCAGTCCACCGTCCCACGCTGCCTTCCCTGCTCGTGCCAGCTTCCTCAGCCATTGATCAACTACTTGCCGAACGGACAGTGGCCCGAGCTGCAAGCCCAACCCCCACCGTTCTGTGACCGTGACCGCCATTCCATTTTCGCTCACCAAGTTTTCCCTTCCTTCTCTCTGTCTGCTTCTTTTTAATTTAGAAAAGTATTCTTTTTTTTTTCTGCCTTCTATTGGGCGGCTCCGGCTTGCGGCCGAGCCGTGTCCCCTCCTTCGGCCTCTCATTGTCGTCTCCTCTCCCTGGACAGACCCGCCCGCCGCTCGCCTGTCTTCCGGCAAGATCCCCGTCCATCCAGACCCGGCGCATCGAGGTCACGACCCAAAAGGCCCAGAACCCAGAATCTCTTGTCATCCTGCTCACCTCCGACCTCATTCGCCGGCCAGAGGCTGTCGTCCCCAGCAGTCCTACACTGACAGACGCATACGGTGCACCCGGCCACACTTCCCCCCCGTCAGTGAGCCACTGGACCGAGAGAGCGCACAGAGAATCCAGTCGGAGCGCATCGGCTGGACGTGGGGTTGGGTTTCGCTTTGGCTATGAGTAGTCGGTTGGTGTAGTTTCGCATCCCCGTCCGCCCATTGCTCTGTATTCGTGCCTTGCCTCCTCTGCCGGCCCTGGCGCGCGCGCCGCGTTCCTATCAACCCCCAGAGTCTTTTTTTGAAATTCGCAAGCCCCAGACCTTCTTCCACCAGTCCCTTAGGTCTTCAGGTACCTCGCCCCTAGTTTAGTACGCCGAACAGTACCTTAGCTCGTCCAACTTGGCTTTTCTTGGGTACCAAGAAAACAGAAGATGATGGCAACCAAGTCTATCAATTTGATAGAGTCCGTGAGGAGAGTTCGAGGCGGTCTAAGGCCAAACGGAACCCCTGCCCAATGCTCCTTTACTCTGCCCGCGCCCCTTGTCTCGCGTCTTGTTCCAAGGAAGCATTCTACGGCGCCGTCCGCCCGTCGCATTACCTACTCCTCCGTTGCCGTTCTCAGGCTTTTCGGTTTCGCCAGGTTTGCATCGGGTCATCGCCACAAGACATTGTGGAAAAGACACCGGTAACACCTCTGACTGGAGATCTCCCAAGGAACGAGGCGAAGGCATACTGCATACAGAGATATAAGGCGGATATAGCGTAGTAGGTATCCAGCGTCAAGAGCCCGAAAGTATCTTGGGGCAACAGGAACAAGAGGACTTATCTCACCTTGGCATCATGATCTATTCCCTCGGCTAACTCTCCATCTGGCTCAGCCTACCCAAAGTATTTACGCCGAAGACCATGGCAGCTCCCACTCGCCAGAAACTTGTCTGGTGCTCTCTTACTGATTGGGCCCGTTTTACCACACACCCACCCTGTCCATCTAATCGGCCACCCTCCACAAACGAGTGACCACACACCCACCAATGCGCATCGCATCCCACCCGCAACGGGCTTCTCTCTCCCAGTCCCAGGTAGACTCCTCGGAGAGTGTTTCCTTCCTCTGTCTCTCCAGCTCCACTCAGCTCTCTCCGTCTCGTTCCCCTCCTCTCTATTCTCGCGCCGTCCGTACCGTACCGTACCGTGCTCACAACTCCTCAGTAAGATCCCATGCTCTCTGTCCGAATACCTCTGTCTCTTGCTCTTTCCCCACTGCCTTTAACCCTCGACTGGGATCTGGACCCGGGCCAGCCTGACCTTCCTTCCACACTACCCGCGACCTTCCATTTCCTTATTGCGACTCTTTTCCTCCCCCCCGTCCCATGTCCACCGTATTCTTCTCGAAGCCAAGCAAAGTACCTCACCCCCGGCCACCGTTTCTGAACAGGTACCTCATCCCGGGACTCGCGCAGAAGTGCTGCCTTTGCTGTTGAAAATACAAAACCATCACTCTTCCTCCTCCAGCTCTACCTTGCCCGCCCACCAAGAAGACGAGATCACACACCACACACCACACGCACACACATATATCCATACACTATCCGCACTCGCTCCCCCTCGTACATACACGTACATACATATACATACTTTCGGCTCCCCATCCTTTGACGGTTTTCCTTATCGTTGCAACACACATTTGTTTATTATTGTCCCATCATCCCTCTTCCACATCGTCTCACTCTCGACGCAGCCATCTACGCCGCATCATCGACTCACGCACATACTCAAGGCTTTTCCCCGCCCTGTGTCTGACCGAACTGCAACTCTTTACCTCGCCACAAGATCTGGAGTGCATCGCAGCACCGTACCACTCCAAAAAAAAAAAAAAAAAAACAAAAACCCCCCCCCCCCCCCCCCCCCCCCCCCCCCCCCCCCCCCCCCCCCCCCTCCCCCCTTCCCCCCCCCCCAACCCGGGCCCCCCCGCCCCATACCCCACCAAAAAAAAAAAAAAAAAAAGGAAGAACCGATCCCCCAAGCCTGTGAGTGTGTTTTCCCCCTTCACAGCCGTTGTTCTACCCTCGTCCTGCACGCACTGCCCTTTAAAACTTTCCGACCACCCTCCGCCCGCACATCCATCTTCTCATCCCATCCCCACCAACCTCTCCTGTCACTCATCCCGCTCGACCACCTCCGCCCTCTGCTTTTTCCCTATCCTCTTGCCCTCTACTCAACCCGCGGACGTCTTGCTTGGCTCCCTGAACGAGTCTCGCACAAAAAGCTCGCTTCTCGCCTCTGGCTGCCAGTTCCCGCTGTACATTACATGCATCCTCGTCGCTCTATACACATTCACAGCAGCCCAAGCGCATTACCCTCAACTGCAATTCTCATAGTGCGCAGCACCGTCTCCACATCTCACTCACCCAAAAATAAACCCTGGGCCACCAACCATCCTCACCGCTGCCCTCGACTAACACGCCTCGCAAGATTGGAAAAATAGGCCACCATTGCCATCACAGCACAACATCGCAGTCTACTCTCGACTGCTGATTGCACATACCAGAAATGGTCTCAAACTACCAGATGCCGTCCTACTACAGACCGAATCCTTTGACCGTAGACACAACACAAGCGCAAAAGTACTACGAAGAGGAGGACCACAGCATCCTCGACGAAACTATCTTGGACCACAGCGCACTCGACTCGGGCCTGGAAATGTCGCCTCCTATGGTCGATAGCAGAAGAGATTCCTTCGCCGTTGGCGGTTCTCTCTTCTCACCAAAGACGGAGGACTGGCAATCGGTCGATATGCAATCTGTGCCATCCAACAACCCGTTCATCGAGCAGCACAACAACAACCCCTTTATGCGCCTTGATCATGCCCAGCCCTCCCCTTTCGGCCCCCAAGGCAACGCTTGGTCTCTGAGCAATACCTCTGGCTCTTGTACTCCCCTCCAGCAATTCGATGGTATGCCGGCTGAATACGACAATGGTGCTCCCATGTTCCAAAGGCCCGTCCCGGGCCAGACGCCTTTCACCAACCCTACCGGTCAAATCAACATGTTTGCACCCATCGGATCAGGCAACCAGTCCATCCCAACCTCACCGCAAAAGGGGTGGATCGGTCAGGCGGAATCCATGGCCAAGAAGATGCGCCCCGGAAGCCCTACGATTCGCTCACACAACGACATGAGAAGGGGTGATGGCATTCGGAAGAAGAACGCCCGCTTCGATATCCCGGCCGAGCGCAATCTCAGCAACATCGATCACCTCATCGCGCAGTCCACTGATGAGCAAGAGATCAAGGAGCTTAAGCAGCAAAAGCGACTGTTGAGAAATCGCCAGGCAGCGTAGGTGCACACCCACGTCCCTTGAATCCCACCCACTGACATTGTAGAAGTCTTGACTCTCGCCAGAGAAAAAAGCAACACACCGAGCGACTTGAAGATGAGAAGAAGCAATTCACTGCTGTGCTCACCGACATGGAGGAAGAGATGGCCGACATGAGGAAACAGATGGAGCAGCTGT